AACCTAACAAAACGTAAGTCACTGTTACCAACAGTGACCAGTTCATTATCGGGATGTTATTAATGTATAGAATTAGGCAAACCTTAAAGCGGAGCTTCTACTAATCTTAAACAGGTACTAATTACGATTACTGCAAAGAACATTATGGAATAGAGACAGAGATCTAGAGGGCCTAGCGAGTCAAAGAAACTACAGTCTGTAACGTGACGCATAAGCGATTTCGTATACAAAAAAAATGTTTCACTTGTCAATACAAGGAATGCTGTTTCCATAACACACTCGTACTGAGTAAATACAAGTTAAAGAAATTCTCTTGCATATCAGATGACGATTGATCTGTAGAGGAAAATACCTCCTGATTTCAATTTCGAATATCTTGAATATATTGAAAATAACTGCACATAAATCACAAAGGAGCAACTCTAAATTTATTAAAGATCAGTAAAATGTCTCTCATGATTCTCTCATGCATGCATGTTCTTTGTCGGCAAGCTCATTTGGTAAAAAATGCACTTTTTTAGGTGTGCTCATCCTCGTATTCTTCGCGTGTGCTCTAAGTCATTACAAAGTGATGACAGGCTACTATGTGACATTGAAATATCAGGCAAAACCCAGGACTAGCCTGAAAAGTGTTTGCAACTTTAAAGTGACTCGATTCTACGTAATTTTGCTTTGCAAATAACACAATTGGGCCTTAGGCACTTAAATTCCATTGAGATAATAATAGAGCTGAAACAACTTACATAATACAAGCTGCGTATCACTAGTCACGTGAAATTTACACAAACGGATGACATAAAGCACATAATATAGGAACGCATTTAAAGCTTAATAAGGGCCTTTTTACATGGAGGTGGGGCACCCCAGGAAGGTGAGGTAATCCGCTTAGGTAGGGCAACCCGCCTGTCCATATAATCTCTCATTTTGATGGGATCACGTTTACACGTTAGGTGGGATAACCCGCCACATGTTACCACACCTACCTGGGGTCGCCCACCTTCATGTAAACAGGCCTTAATTTGATCATGACCACCAATAGATGCGGCTGAGGTCGTAGAATTATAACTGCAGGGTCAGTACCATCTAACGGGATATCCCGCAGGCGAAAGTTTAATGTCGAGTTTCAGCAATTACCGTCTCAATGATAATTCCCTTTTTCGAGTAAAGTATTAAATTAATGTGATAACTTTATTTTACCTTTCCAGAGAGTAAAATTGGAATTGACATTAAAAAAAAAAGGTTTCACTTCAAAGGTAAATTTTATTAATCATGATGTCACATTTTTTTTTATTTATTTATTTCTAGATCGTTTAGGTATTTCTGACAGACATAAATGCAAATAGCGAACATGGGAATATCCAAAGTGTGCTGTCGATGTTCTACAGAACCAAATTCAGAAGCTCGAACTCCAGTTCTCCGACGTTTTTCCTGTGGAGTAGGAAGCGTATTGAATGAAATCCAAAGCCAGCTTATTTCGTTCCGTCTAGTTTTCTTCATGAATGTTGTAGGACTCTCCGCGACTGAAGCTGGCGTGCTGGCACTATACGGGAAGATTTCCCAGGCCGCAGCAACACCTCTTTGCACGTTTTTGGAAGAACGAATTAAGATCCCATTTTTGTCCCGAAAACTCGGAAGAAGAAAGTCTTGGCATTTCATTGGAACAATGCTGTTAACAATCGTCCTACCACTCTACTTTGGACCTTGTTTTCCTTGTAAGAGTGATGGTGGACATTGGCAACTGATGGTGTACATTCTGACATTGAGCACAGTTCTGTCAACTAGCGTTAGCTTGATAGAACTTGGACATCTGACGCTCATTCCTATTATTGCAAAGAATCAAGAAGAGGCCATTGAACTGAATGCATTGAGGTTTGTTTTCCCTTAACCTGCTGTTCAAATTCACTTTCAATTTATAAAATTTAATGTACGTTTCTACATATGAATTAAAGCTCTTGCAGAGGTAAGCTCAGAGATTATATTCGTTATTAGAGAGATGCAACAACTAAAGGCATTTAACCTTGCCGCCTGTTAGTAAACTAAAATTGCAATCGACCCGCTCTCTGTCGAATGGTCTTCCCCATGTAGTGATCACTTACTAAAGTCAGTTGGACAAAATTATCAAGGGATCAATGCGAATAAAACCTACACTAACCGCTTATTAAAGGGACAGTGTCCCGATTATGCGCACGCGCGAGCGTCATCTGTTTTTTCTTCAAAAGACAATAGAACTGTCATATTGACTCGACAAGATTTCCTTCCGGGCCGCACCGCCGACGGAGATTTGTTGTTTATATTCTCAAGTAATATTTTAGACTTTCGAAGAAGTCTTTCGTCTTATTTAAAATTTGGCTCGCGGCACGAAGACTCATCGCGATTTTATCACTAGCGGGGCCGCCTCGCGACCCGAAAATCTCTTTCCGCTCGCTTTAAAACAGATTTTCTATTGTGAAACTCGTGTCAGAGGTCAGTTGTTCTAAGTCCAGTAATATCTGCCTGGTTCTAGCCTCAAATGTTTGAAAGACATAAATAAAAATGCAATCTCAAGGCTATGAATCATCGCAAAGATCAGTCAAAAATTATATTATGATTTTATGAAACTAGTTTTTCTAAACCTGTAACGCCTGTTTGTTTGATTTTGTCGGCCGTAGGGAGATTCATTTAAAAGTTTACTAACGCGTCGTTGCAAAACATTCCACAAGATCTCCACAGTCACATCAATGTCTCAATGGTTTCTTTTTTACAGTCTTTGTTGTTGCTGTTTCATTTCTTTGTATTCCTTTCACAATTATCTGAGCCTGTATGGAAGCTAGCAGAAGAAATAAGCCTTCAATCGGCATCAAAGCGCCTCCCATCTTCTGGTCCTCCGGCCAACGGTAATAAAAGTAACGCCAAAAGATCCAGATTTCGCCCAAATTGAAACTTAACAGGAACAATATATCATTGATCTGTAATCCTGAGAAGTTTTAGTGTAGTATTGAACTCGGCCAAGCGCGATGCAAACGGATTTTTCAAGGTTAAGCAACCCTAAGCGATTATACCTGCATGCACGATTCAACTCTGAGAGTTACGGATCATGAAACGCGTCATTTCATGGAGTTTGACTATCAATCATAAACCCGGGCACAATAAGTCAGATGTTAACCAAAATATAGCACAGGTGGCGAAAAAGTAATTAACTCGACGCCCGCCATGCATTCACGTGTAGTATGGACCAATTATCTTTTCAACAGGGGAGAGACTATACTAGACTATATACTAATCAACTGCACCAACAAGTTCATTAAAGCATCAAGAGCAGTCAATGCAATGTTGACCAATCAGAACACACGTACTAACAACGGTGATTCACGTGTAATGATTTTCACGTGTGGGTTGAAAATGTTTACATGAAGAGCATTTATTAAAAATACAATGATACGCGACAGTTATTATATTATTTTTAGGTCTCAGTCAGCTTGCGACGAAAGCTTTATTCATGTTGCTTAATCAAGCAGGTTCCCTTAATAGAGAGTTTATTTATGGGTCATTGTTACAAGTTCTGTTCCACGTGTATGGCATCAACTAAACTACATTTGAAATAAACGTGACTTTTAGCCATGGCTGCTCAAGTAAAAAGGAAAACCTGGGCTTATCAATACAGGCTGCAATCAGCCCTGGAGCAGTCGACACAGTGGACTTGACTTGTTACATGTTTTGGTGTCTACAGGTGAGAAAAAATATTTAATTCTGCTTCCAATTGCCTACAATTAATCATCGAGTTTGAAACTGATTTGAGATGGTAGATCTTAGTCCCTCAAGGGGTGCGGTCTTTTTATTCATTAACACCCTGAATTCGAACCATCTAAAATCCTGTGTTGCAAAGTGCAAATTGCTACTTGTCAAAGAGTTATGAAGGATATAGTTTGCAATAAATAAACTTCGTCTGCCCTTATATGCCAGCCATTGAGATTCAACATAGAATCGATAGTATTGAAGTTTCCATATTCTTTTCCTCTGGAAAGCAGACCCTGACGATTTTTCATGGCTCATCATAAAACCGGGCATTCAATAGAGCATTTTGAGGGCTGCTCAACCACTGCAAACTCCAAAACCAGCAAATACTGCCTTACTTCTAATATTATTTTTTAGGTCTCAGTCATGATCAGCTAGCAACGAAACCTTTATTCGTGTTGCTTTATGAAGCTGCGATTCTTGCGAGCAAATACAGGCGATCATCAACCGCCATTTACGGCGAAAGCTTTAATTGGGAAGGCATCACGGTTAGGAGCATCGCGAATGACTTGTTGAAAACATCACTTGACAGCTTATTGACAGCTTGCATCATAATTTAGCCAATGGGAATTGCCCGTGGCTGAGAGAAGCGGGTAATTCGAACAAATATAACGTATGCAAAACGGATAGTCCGTATTTTTAGCTTCTCGATCCCCTAGTCTCGCTCTCCTTTTTCAGACTCGCTTTAGACCTTTTGTTTGACTGCTCGAGCGTACTTGAATACGCAAGACGGACTAGGGACTGTTTTGCAGTCTAGTGATCTTCATTCGTACACTGTCAGACAGTACGTAGCGTACTTATGAATATGTCGAGTCGATTTAAAGCTCAAAACCTATTCCTTTTTTCTTCTGCTCCTTTTCTTTTTTGTTTTTTTTATCAGCTCGGAGATTTCGATTGTTCGCTTAGCTTCTTAATTTCTTGAGAGAAGCATCAGGTTCAATACTATGACAGCTTGTTTCGTGCCATTTTGGTGTGCGACACGATGAAGGTTTAAAATTAACTTTTTCTTTATAAGTACACCAAAAGCGCTAGGTTCTCATGTGGTCTGGCAAGAATCGGATGGTCAATACACAGTGCATGTTTTGATGGCTTGAAAATGTTGAACTATTACGTAACTTTACTGAACTTAGCTAAAACATGAAGTGTTTTGAGTTATTAAGGCGCAAGTTTGTAATTCTCACCGTTTCTTCATTAAGAATTTGTTCATGCTTAGCGTGCGTATATCGAGTTATGGATGCACGCGGGAAGTTTGGAGAGCACGAAAGATGCGTAAGAGTTGCACGAGGCGATAACCGAGTGCAACTCTAGCTTCTTGAGTGCTCTCCAAACTTCCCAAGTGCATCCATAACTCGATATACGCACAGCTAAAAGCATGAGCAAATTCTTTTATAA